TAACCTCACCAAAGTTCACCGTTTTCTCCCGAAACGAATCGTAGTAGTTACATTACTTTTCTATCAAGAAGAAGTAGGAACAAGAATTTTATTTGCCTGACGTTGCGAAATCCGTCGTGGATCCACCATCGGAGACACTAGCAGCCGTGGGTTTCTATCTTCTCTGACGATGGATCAGCGATTAATTTCGAGGCGTTAGACGAATAAAATTCTCGTTCCAGCAATCACATCCACTTCTTCTCAATTAACTCCTGGGATTCGCATGTTTGCTTCTATTGGCAACCGTTCTATCATTTTTTGGTACGTACTATGCGCTACCCTATAAAATCCTTTCGCTGAACGTACATTAAATAGTACTCTGTGATATTTAGGGACGACTTCAAATTTCTTACCGGCATAAGAGTTTTTAAATAAAAACGAGTTTCAGAGCTCGAAGCCCAGTTCGGGCAAGCAATATTTTTATTGTGGGAACAGCTTTAGGCGGTCTTTTATTAACTTAGCCTACTTCAGTTTCTATTACACTCTTTTTCTACTCGTATCCTACCTCAGCAGGCAGGCAGGCATACATGCATGTTTGTACGTCCCCGCTTTCAGCCGACCCTGTTTGCTGCCGTGCTTGCGACGGCCAATCTCAGGTCGGCAACGCGTAAAGATCGGTTGGTTCTATGATAACATCTTTGTCGGACAGGGGAAGGAAGTGGTTGCGAGTGATGGTGTCGCAGGAAGGTGAAACCTGTTTGTGTGCGGGGTGACTGGTTGTCCTAAAACAGTGACTGATGGGCACATGTTGATGTGAATCCAACTGGGCAAAGTATACAGGTTACGATGACAGTAGGTAGGCATGGATGTGCCTGTGTGTACGTCAAAAATTGCGGTCAAGCAACAAATTTCGAAACAGCAGCATTAGGATATACAGCAAGGTGTATTTAGTTTGTTTTGGTTTCCTTTTGAACTGCAATATATCCACCAGGCATGGATTTCCTTCTCAATCATCGCTTCAGTTATGGCTTTCTTTGCAACACATAGTTTTCGATATAGAAACTTAGATTATTCAGTTTAAGTGCGTGCATAAATTTTCGGTTTAAACTACAGCCAAATCTAAAGTCCCCTTCAAACTAATTGGCAAAGAAAGAATTTATAGTACTATTCTAAGTTATGCAACTATCATGATTAAAAATCTTGATCATGAAAGGAAACGTGCGCATGTCATCCATTTGCAAGCCAATACAAGCATGGTTTTCTTGATCCACATATTGTATGGTTAGTTCCTAGCGGAGAGTAACATCGGAATGTTTTGTAATTACGAAAATGTCTTCCAACAAGAGCAAGAATGTTAAAAAGCAGTCTACCTCCAACAGGTATGAATGGATTGAATTTTCTCTCGGCTCAGTTGCTCTGGGGCTCAGATAGGACTGAAAATTCATTATATACAGGGACACTTTGCTGTTTGTTTGTTTTCAAAGGCAGCTTCATTCTTCCTGGGATGAAAAAGGGATAAGTTCTGAAAATGTTCCGTAGCTATATAGATCGAAGTGGGATCGAAACGTACTACGACAACGATGCATTGACGGTTTAGCTGTAACGGTTCAGAATTGACTGAGCATAACAAGGCATCTGAAAATGCGTAGCACGACGGTCTGTTGTATAATTGGAACGAAATACACAAAAATTGACGAGATATATGATGACAACTGAGTAGAGTAAAGCATAGTATGAGCAAAGACAGATCTCATAATGCTGGTAGTCAACTGCTTCTTTCATGCCCCAAGTATTAACATGCATTGGTGGTATCACGGTGATTAATGGACTACTTACCCCTCTGCTACGCAAATGGTTGCAGGGGAAAAAGATTTAAATGTAAATAAAATGCCGATAAATATATTCGTGTGAGATCGTGGTGAAATGACTACTAATACAAGCGAACCTAGAGAAAACTACTACCTACATTCATACAGCCGTAGAGAGAGTTCTGCATGCAGCGGACGATATTGCTTGCTACAACACCTTTTTTTGGAAACTCATACGAATTTATATTTTCTGTTATAGAATATCGCCTTGATTCCAATAGTAACTCGGACGTGTAGTCAGAGATGACCTTTCAACCGAAACTTGTCCTTTCTCTTCTCTTCATGACCATTTGGATCCCTCACTGGCATATCCATGCTACAGCAGAGTCTCCGTTCAATCCGACCGTCAGTCGACAAGTCGATGATTCCAACTTCCCCAGTTTCAGCAATCAGCGCTTCCGAATAATTGAGGAGTCTCCTAACAGAACAGAAGTCATTGGGGTTGCAGAGTACCTGAACAGTCAAGTGGCAATGCGTTACAGGAGTGACACAAGTCGGTCAGAGAGGCAGACAACCTACCAAATACTTGACTCCCATGATATGCTCACACGCTTGTTAACAATCCAGCCGC